CAACCGCCCCCATCCCCCCGCCCCCACTCCATGGTGCGAAAAAAAAGAGGAAAAGGCGCGTATTTAGTCGCGCCTCTTCCAACTACTGACCAGCGTCAGGGCAGCTCTGGTGGCTTGAATCTTCCTCTTGCTCACGGCCCGGACGGTCGCTCTGACCATAGAAGAGGCCATCTCCTCCTCGACCACGGACTCCCCCCGGGAACGGCCCCCTCGCCTTCCCTCTCAGATCCGTCCTTTGAGGCGCTCCATGGACACGGCGGACGAAGGGACGTAAGGCACGACGTCCCGGCGCTCCCCTTGCGTCACGTGAGAGGCAGGCGCCTGTTTCTGGAGCGTTCATTCCTATTGGGTAGATTGAATGCCAGTAGAAAATCAGCAGGCGATATAGAGGCGGGTCGGTCTCCGCACGGCTGGCCAATCAGCCGAGAAGACGGCACAGAGAGAGGCGGGAAGAATTCTATTGTGGCTTTGAGGGACGTTTCCAAGGCTGGGTGGCGTTGAGGCCATAATTCGTCGTGGTCTCTTTATGTGATTTTATCCATAAAGCAAACGATATCTAAGTTATTTCCAGTGGCTGATATAACCAGAACTATCTGGCACCAAGGGAAACAAAATCCTTACTTTTTAAAGTGTTCACTTAAAATATTCCAGACCCTACCCTTTTAGACAAATGAAATAATAAATAATCCCCAGGAACCACACTGTCCTAGCTTCTTTCAGAAAACAGACTAGAAAAGCAACTTACGAGTAGACTAACCCAACCATTAGTTGGATGTCATGGCAGAGGGGCTTGAGTAATTCAGAGAAGCTAGGAGCTATGCCCTGCAGGGACATGAAAGATGGACAGGTCATAGTGGAGAGTTCTGATTAAACGCGATCCACCTGGAGCAGGAACTGGCAAGCCACTCCAGTATCTTTGCCAAGAAAACCCCATGAAAAGAAACAAATAGACTAAATGATACGACGCTGGAAGATGAGCCCCTCAGGTCGCAAGGCATCAAACATGCTACTGAGGAAGAGCAAAGGACAAGTAGCTCCAGAGCTAAAGAAGTGGTTGGGCCAAAGCCAAAAGGATGCTCAGCTGCGGACGCACCTTGAAGTGAAAGGAAAGTCTGATGCTGCGAAGAAAAATACTGCATAGGAACCTGGAATGCAAGATCTATGAACTTTGGTAAGCTGGATGTGGTCAAACAGGAGATGGCAAGAATAAACATTGTCATCCTGGGCGTGAGTGAACTAAAATGGACAGGAATGGGTGAATTCAATTCAGACGATTGTCATATCTAATATTGTGGGCAAGAATCCCGAAGAAGGAATGGAATAGCCCTCATAGTCAACAAAAGAGTGGGAAAAGCTGTACTGGGATACAGTCTCAAAAATGATAGAATGATTTCAATACGAATCCAAGGCAGACCTTTCAACATTACAGTAATCCAAGTTTATGCACCAACCACCAATGCTGAGGAGAC